GAGAGAGAGAGAGAGTGTGTGTCCAGGCTAAGGGAGAAGGACTGAATCAGGAAGCCTCCGGAGAACCATTCAGTTCTACAAGTCTTACTGCTTTGCTTTACTTAAGTAATTAGAGTTTCTCCTGGGTCGTCTGGCCAGCCCTTGAGTACCCAGATTTCAAAGTGGTAACCAGTCATTACTGACAGTTCAACTTAGGGAAGAGTTAACAAACACAAGCTGTATTTTCACAAGTATGAAGTTAATTTTCTAGGCTATTGGTTGTAAAATGGTGATTTATTTTATATGTAACACTCGTGGCTTTAAGCTGTGATGAATAAAGCCTCACTTGCTTAACTTAGTCACTTGTTTGGTTCAGGTTTCTATGAACTGAGGCAGAATTCTCTTTTTTAAAAAAAAAAATCCAAGAGTCTGATTTATAAAATAAATCAAAACGAGATGATGATTCCTGAGGAAATACATTATTCATATTATAGACAGGTCTCTCTAATTCCCAAAGGATCCTGCTGTGGTCAGTGTGTAAGTTTGGTTCCCAAAAATGCTTGTGGTTGAGAATCTGAACTGTGTTACATGGCTGGAATCCACAGTCCGCTACTTATTAGCTGTGTGTCCCCACCCCACCTCCTTGCAAGAAAAAAGCTATTGATATGGGCCCCGTAACCAATTTCATCTCTTTGAAATCAGTCTAACCTTGATATTTGCTCTGCAGTCTTTGTCTGGATTTCGATATTAAAAACTCCTTAAGGCAATATCTGCCTTCTTTTGAGTCAAATTTTATTGCAGCACCCACCACCTGCCTGCTCAGAGCAGAGGCCCAACAGAAATCTACGGAACCGAGGTGTGCAGAGCGGAGGCATGAGGCGTGCCCACACCGCCGGTCCATGTTAGTCCTCCCTCGGTTCTTCTGCTGGGTATCGGGCTGTTGGTTTCCAGGCTGACGGCCGGCCAACAGAGCGTCTTCTTCCTGACCTTGCCTGTAGTAACTGATCTTAGGAACAGGTGTAGCTTTGCCTTTGAGGAGAGGCCAGGGACGGACAGTAAAGGTAGAGGCTCGGCTGGGCTCCTTTCCCTCTCCTCCCCCTCCTTAAATGAGTCATTTCAAGTTGATTCTGGTGCCAGTGGTGAAAACAATGTAATATGAATGAAAATGTTCTGCTGAGAGGACATCTGAAGGAGAGTTAGCCAGGAGCAGATGTCTCCCCGCTCCCTCTCCTCACCTCTCTCTCTGTCTCTCTCTCCTTCTGTCCCCTGGGTGCTCAGCTCTCACTTTTCCTCTGCCTGGTTTGTCAGCTCTCCTGGGTTCAGAGCCAGGCCAGGCACTGCCCTCGTTATGAGGACCACTGAGGCAGGACTGGGTCCCTTTCCTAACTTGGCTAAGGTGGGAAAAATCTCTTCCACTAGGGTTCAACATCGTTTTACTGGAAACTAAGGAAAACTGCAAATGTTTATAAAAGATACATGTGCATAACTCACGGGTGTATGTAATTATAGTATCAAAAGCTAATGAGTATTTAGCACCTACTATACGTTTAGGCTTTAGTCCAAGTGTGGGAGCTTTGGGTCTTACAAGAAGTAGATTCCAGGGCCGGGATTTAGCTCAGCGGTTCGGTGGCCTGCCTTGCAAGCGCAAGGACCCGAGTTCAATCCCCGGTACCAAAAAAAAAAAAAAAAAAAAAAAAGAAGTAGATTCCAAGAACAGATTAAATGTGAAGGGAACTGAGTGAGAGAAATGCCTGGGGAGGAAGCAGGCGTGGGCGAGGAGAGCCTGTGCACCGCCATGCCCGCCTGACACCCGGGAAGGGAAAGGCGTGAAGAGACTCAGACCACAACCCATTGGGGACAAAGCCTGAGCTAGGATAATGGAGATGCCAAAGATGGAGCTGCCCAGAACAGAGCCGTCACGGCACACCCGCCAGGCCCAGTCTCCGGCTGGAAATGACTGCACGAGGGGCCTCAGCACTCAGCGGGCAGCCGCAGAGACTGTACGTCCACGGTGTCCTCACTGTGAGCTCTCCAAGGGGGCTGCTCCTGGCTTCTCCACTGCCACCGCTGTGCAGGCTCTGCAGAACGTCTGTGTGCTCCTCACAGCACATTAGGGTAGGTATGACAAGTCCTGCGCTGGACCCAGAGCACGTGAGCGCCAGTGACTCCCCTCCTCCACGGCAGGCCCAGGCACGCCCTCCTTCTGACGCTCCCCTCTAACTGTCCAGCTCGCCCTTTCTAGCACTCTGACAACAGTGACCCTTAGTCCTAAAACAACGTCTGTTCACCGATCTTCCGTCCACTCACCTTTCGCCCCGTGACTTCATGACATTCTTCGGCCTCTCCCATTGCAGTACTTGGCTTGGGGCTCATGGCCCGTCAGTTTGAACACGGCCTTGAACATTCCCTGGGCATCCTCAAATCCTCGTTGTGTTATCTTCTTTTAAAGAAAACCCTTCGGTACCTGGATACAGCTCTCCACCTGCTCTGCTTGAACCTGAGATCTGAAACAGTGGTCGACTTACCACACACTTCCCACGGACCTCTACACCGTCAGCTTGGCCCTCTTCACTAGCCGACTCTTCGTCGTACGGGACTTTCCTCTCTTCCAGCTTCCAACACTCTTACTGCGGAAAGCGAGCTTTTGTGAACATGCCACAGGGATTGAGGCGTAATGAAATGTGGTGAAACTTAGAGGAAGAGGACTCCCTGAGCTTAATTAGTGT